CACGGAATAGGGGAAGTGTGGAGACAAAGTAGATCTGGAAGTGGGGGAAGGCCACCCCTGTGGAGGCTACGCTTGGTCAGTGTGGCCCTGCCTCACTGCAATGCAGACTCCATGCTGGCTCTATGGGGGGCCCCCCCCGGTGCTGCTGGTCCCTGCCAGCTTTGGGCACCGCAAGGACCTCAGGCGTGGTCTGGAGCTGTGGTGGGCTGAAGGGAAAGGTGACAATGTGAATGGCAGCACAGCTGGTGGGGCTAAAAGCCGGAAGGGAGGCTGCAGTGACAGGGCAGTGGGGACTTAAGGATAGTCACAGCAGGGGCTGGGGATTTAGCTCAGTGGCACAGCGCCTGCCTGGCAAGCGCAAGGTCATGAGTTCGATTCCCCGTACCGGAAAAAAAAAAAAAAAGGATGGTCACAGCTGGTGGTGGAGGCTGTGCCCTCCGCGGGACCCTCAGGGGTTTCAGGGTCAGTAACTGCCAGATGGAAGGGATTATCTGAGAGCCCAGGTGCCTGAGCCACTTCCCTTAAGAAATCTTGCTTTTGTTTCTTTTGAGACAAGATCTCACTATGTAGCTCAGGCTGGCTCAGACTCATGTGATCCTCCTGCCTCAGCCTCCTGAGTGCTGGTGCCGCCATGCCCAGCTTCTTCAGAAATCTAGACTGCAATCCCGTTTCTCCTGATCCCCTGCTGGACTAGGGTTAGGTGGGCAGAGCTGGGGCAGCTTTCAGCCACTTGACAATGGCCAAACAACACTGGTAGAGCTGCCTTGCAATGTGTCGCCTCAAGGTCCCCTCTGGCCTCATATCTGACACCAGATTGGCGACGGTCCTGTTTGTGTCTCTCGGGGCTGGAGACAACCGTGAATGCGACAGATATGACAGGAGTCAGGCCCCAGGTAGGGAACCGCTCCACAGAGAGTGACAAGTTAGGAAGGGACACAAAGCTCCCTGAGTCCTTCCAACAACCCTTCCCATCCTGGTTTTCCAGATGAGGAAAGCAAGGCTCAGAGAGGTGAAGTGACTGCCCCAGGTCACACAGCTGCTCGGGTTGGGAGTTGGGATCTGAATCCAGGTCTAGCACCAAAGCCTCTTCCCTTTTAGTACTTACTCCTAGAGAATAATACCGCTGTGAACATACCCGAGACTGTCTTCCCAGCCTGTCTCTCCAGTGCTGGGACGAAGTGGTGCTCACTAAATACTAATGGAGGTGTGGGGCTGGGGATTTAGCTCAGCGGCAAAGTGCCTACCTGGCAAGCGCAAGGTCGTGAGTTCGGTTCCCGGTACCGGAGAAAAACCAAAAAAAAAAAAAAAAAAATACTAATGGAGGTGTGACTGGGGAGATGCGTGGCGGGGCGGGGGTCCTGGCCTTCCTGGAAGAGGAGGGATGCCAAATGTGGGCTTTATTCGGTGAGGGCGACACCAGGGAAGGGAGGGTCCAGGAAGAAACCGTCACAGACGCTCACAGACATGCAAAGGTCCGCAGTGCAGTGCATTCTGGGAATGGCAGGGGGACAAGTGGCTAACTCTGAGTGGACAGAGGGTCGAGGGTGGCCAGAGCCTGGGCCTGTCCTCCAGCAGTGAGGAGGCGAGGCGAGGCTCTGAGCAGGAGCGCTGCCTCACTGGTGTCCCGGATGTCCACGGAGGACAGGTGCCGGGGCTGGGACGTCTTGCTGATGACCCAGCAGGACACAATGGCGGCCGGGACCGGGAAGTGCGGCAGAGATGGAGAAGTGGTGGATTCCAGACGCGGTTGGGAGGTAAAACCATCAGGAGCTGGTGACAGTGGCCACAGCCCAGTCCTGGCCCCCAAGTTCCCCTTTCCGCCCTCTGACTCACTGTCCCTGCTCCGCACCTCTCGGGTCCCCAGCCACAGACACGCCTGGGGAGGCCCAGTAGCCAAAAGGTGGGGACAGCCCCAGGTCTGTGCGGCTGGGCCGACAAACAATGCGGTCTGTCTGGACAAAGCCGGGAAGAGGGCGGAGGGCCCAGTGCAGGCGACAGTGTGGACACGGGGCCCCGGAGACAGGGGGTCGCAGAAGACGTCAGGCACATGGGATCACACGTTTGGTTCCACTCACCGGATATGTCCAGAAAGGGCAAGCCCAAAGACACAAAATAGCCTGCTGGTTCCCAGGGCAGGGGGCAGGGGGGACTGCAAAGGACTGCTCGCGGGTACAGGATCTCCTTCTGAGGTGATAAAAAGTGTCTTGGAACTGTGTGAGGTGTGGTGGTGCACACCTATAATCCCAGGACTGGGGAGGCTGAGGCAGGAGGATCGCCACAAGTTCCAGGCCAGCCTGGGCTCCATAGTGAGTTCACGGCCAGCCTGAATTACACAGTGAGACCCTGTCTCAATCCCCTCAAAACCCTGCCTCCAAAGTTTGAGAACTAGATAGAACTGCTATTTTTTTTTTTAATTTATTGCGCTATTGGGCATTAAACCCAGGGGCTCTCTACTACTGAACTGCATTCCGAACACTTTTTATTTTTATTTATTTATTTATTTTTGCCTTTTTTGGGACAGTGTCTCACTATGCAGCTCAGGCTGGCCTCGCGCTCACTTTGTAGCTCAGGCTGCCTTGAACTCACCGTGATCCTCCTGCCTCAGCCTCCCGAGTGCTGGGATTACAGGTGTGTACCGCCATGCCTGGCATCCTTTTTATTTTTTAAGTTTTAAGACAAGGTCTGGCTGTGCAGTTGAGGCTGGCCTTGAACTTGTGATCCTCCTGAGCAGCCCGGAATATAAGAGTAAGCCTGTGAGTCAATAGATTGATTTCATTATGGATGTACTGAATGCCACTGAGCTGTCTCCTTTAACCAGTTAATTTTTGTTATGCACATTTTCACATCAGTTTTAATAAATGACTAAGGACCCTCCCTCCCCAAAGGCACCATGCTCATGCTGATTTCTGCCTCCTTCACCTGCGGGGGATATGGCCTCCCTGGCAGGGTGGCTCCAAAAACCCACACTCACAGACCTGGGGGACTCTTCCCCATAGCGAGGCCCGCGTGTCCATGTGCAGGTACTGCTCTTCCCTCGGCAGCATCTAGATCCCGGGGCAATGCCACCTTGGCTTCCCTGTCCAGGAAAGGAGATAGCTGCAGGTACAGCTGGATCCAGGGCTTCTTTGACCCTTTCCTCTGGCTGGCTGTGCTCTCTGCTGGCTCACCACCACCACCACCACTGAGGCAGTGTGAGTACCATTGGTTTGGCCTGGATCACATGTCTATCACCCTGGACCAATCATCATGGCCAGGGGTGGAGACCACTCTGAATGATCTGGCAGTGGGACCCTGCAGATTTTTCCTGTGAAACTGTGAACCTCCAGGGGACACAAGAAGCATGTGGTGCACTCTGGGAGGCATGTGGGACACTCTGGGAGGCTGAGGCAGGAAGATCACAAATCTGAGCCCAGAGATCCTGTCTCACAGTAAGAAATAAGGAAAGAGCTGGGGTTGTAGCTCAGTGTGAGTTCCCTGGGTTCTATCCCCAGTAAACATAACAACAGCAATAAAACCAGACGGTCTGGTCTCCGGGAGCAGAGTGAAGCCCCAGGCAACAAGGGACTTCCCCGAGATTACACATCCCAGAGTCCCTGGCTCATTTCCTCCTGCCTGAGGGTCAGAGGCTCCAGGCCCTTCTCTTGCAGGGGTTGGAGGCTTTGTTGCTGTCTGCAAGGTGGAGGGGTGTAAGAGGCCTGGGGCAGAGCACAAGGTGTGGGAATCTCCGTAGGAACCGCCTCAGCTAGGAAATCCACACCCAAAGTCAAGCACAGTGGCACAGACTTGTGATTCCAGCACTCTAGGAGGCTGAGGCAGGAGGATCACAAGTTCCAGCCCAACCTGGGCAATTTAGCAAGCCCATGTCCAAAAAAAAAAGGCTGGAGATGCAGCTCAGTGCAAAGGTCCTGAGCTCAGTCCTGAAGCGGGGCAAGTGGGTGTTTCAAACAACAGCCCTGCCTGAAGTGATGCCCACTTACGGATAGGATCTGCTGGCGTCCACTTTATACACTGTGCTTGTCTTTGTTTTGCAGGAGGCAAAGGAAGCCTCAGAAGTGGAGCCAGGTCTCCAAGGTGGGGTTTAGAAGCCCAGTGGGACTCGCCCTCTGCCCATTCTAGATCTCTCTCCTCTTGCGGGTACGGGGTTGGACGGCCAAGCATCTTGCATATTTAGCGCAGTCTTGTACTTCTGTCTTGTGGTCAGCTTTATTTCCACAAAGCACAAATTTCCGGGAACTAGGGTTATTTTTCAAATGGAGGTGGACATTGTTAAATCGGCTAAATCTGGCAACCCCAGCCAGGGGCAAGGTCGGACTCTAAGCCTAGGACTTCAGCGTGCGGCCTCCCCAGGACCCCAGAGCTTTGTCCAGGTCAACTGGCACCCTAGACTTATCCTGCATTGAGTTATCCGGGCTCAAGTCCTCATGCTTTCGGAACAGAGAGCTGGGGCTCCTGAACCAGTCGCGGTCCCTTTAAGAGTGGGGTCGGGGATGGGCTCACGGGGGGCCGTGCCGGGTCGGAGCCGACCAATCGGAGGGCGCGAAGCACGCAGGGGCGGGCCCTG